CGCAGGATCAGATACTAAAGGAGGGGCTCAGCAGTCTGTGTTTTATAAACCCTCCAGGAGATTCTGGTGTTTGCCCGAAGACGCCTGCGAGGTGCTGGAGGCTCAGCAACTGATGTCACCTTGCTAGGATGGCCACTATTAGGATGCTCCTAAATGCCCCTGATCAGCACATTGTCTGTATCAATCCACTGCTTGAAATTCTGCAGACCCTCAGTCCTCCTTTTTCAGGATAGGCATTTTTCAATAGAAATACAGTCATGGATTCCATTTAGGCCATGGGGGCCGATATCCAGTGCAGTTTATTCCTTGAATTTCTAAGTTCTTTTCTCAGTTGCACAGAGAAGTTCCAGGGCAGGCAGCAGACTTTGGGAGGTTGTTTTTGAAAAATAGATGCAAATGCTGTCTGTGCTGTTGTTGTTTTTCTGGTGCCTGGCAGTGTTTGGTAAACAACTTGATTGCTAGGTCCCGGCCTCAGGGAACCACAGCTGCTCTTTCCAGCTCCCTGCAGACTTTTGTACCCAGCAGGGATTGCTTCAGGGAAAATAAACAGGGGAGAACAAAACAAGAAAACATCACTGTTGTTTTGTTGCTGCCTCTACCTGTTTTCCTGGAACTGTTTTGCAACCACAGGCCCTGGGATTTTGGTCCTTTGCTTTAAAAAACAAGGCAGGCCCCTATGGCATTCCAAGCTTCTCTCTCCATGGCTAGACTGGCATTTGGAGTAGCCACAGGACTTGAAAAGCTTTGGAAAGGACTTAGTAGCCACTGCCAGAATGCATGCATTTTTAAATATGTAAATTGAACGGGAGAAAGCTTCATTCTTTCTAATGACCCCCAGGATGGTAATCTGGCTTTTCAAATGTCTAGGAAAACAGATTGAATATGGCACAATTAATGTTTCAGCACTTCTAGGCTTTTCTCTAAAATATTTTAATGGGCTTTTAATTTATTGCAGCTCTTGATTAGCAGGGTTGAGGCAGGGTTACTGCTGACCTCCTGGGCCAAGGTGCTCCCTGAGGCTGTAGTGAAGTGGCAAAGAACAAAGGTTTGCTGGCTTTCCAGCTGAAGCCTGCCACCCCCAGGCTGAACCCCAAGGGAGGCTCACTAACTAACCCTAAAGTGGTCAGAAAGCAGTGCAGTGCTCTTTAGATCTTCATCAGAGTTACTTGGGGTATCTGGTAGAAATGCAGATTCATGCAACCTGATGAAGAATTTCTGTACCGTGGAGGGTGGGAATCTGCATTTCGAGCTGGTCCCCCAATTGCACACTCAAGTTTGATATTGCTACAGCGTAAATAAGAGAGCTGGGGTAGGAAACAGGTGATGGTACTGCCAGATTTTTTTTCTTTTAATTTCGAGACTTATACATTGTTATATTAATCCATTTACTTTTCATTTACTCAGTTTCTCCCGTTATTTTGGCTCTTCCCTACTTTCTCAAGTCAGAGAACTTTCAGCCTGAAATTGTTTTCTTTTGGCCTGAAATAAATCTTAGAATTTTTTTTTTAGGGAAACGATAAACTTCTGCTTATCTGAATAGCTCTAATTTTACTCTGATTTTTGAGAGAGAGTTTTTCTGCGTATACAATTCTAGGTAGACAGGTTTTTGGTTGTTTTTTTGTTTTTGCCTCTGGGCTGTGCTCTGTGTAAGTTTTTGGATGTCTGTCTTCTCCTCTTGTGTGTTTTCTTTATTTCAGTTGCTGTATTTTTCATTTCTAGAGCTCAGAGCAGTTAAGTATTTTGGTTATTATAGAGCTGCATGAAGCTGGAATTCAGTCCTGTGTCCGTTGGATTCTTCACAAAACACACACACAAAAACAAAAACAAAAGTTCCACAAACCATAGTGGTGATTCGTCCTTTAGTTTTGGATATGCCTGATTACTTTAATGTATTAGAAGTCAAGCAAGACAGCACTCCTGTTCATATTCTTAGGCATTGTTTGACCAGTGTCTGTCTTACCGAGAAACCTGCTGCTACTCCAATATGGAATGAAAATTAAACTCCTACACGAAACCTTCCACGTGCTCTCTCCCTCCCCGCACTGGTGTTCATTGTTCTTTTCTTTTAAGTGTCTAAGGTAGAAAGTGCCATTTACTGGTGACTTACTTGCCTGCTACCCACCCCCAAGCCTCTCAATGTGCTATTCTGACCCTGTAGAATGCTTTTTCCACCCAATCTTTCAATTCCTTCCAAAACTTGCTCAAGATAATTAATTCCTCTAGAAAGTCCTTATCTGCACAAATACCTACTGTGTTTTTCTGTGTTCACTCGTGCAGCTTCTCCATGTTTCTGAATCACTCTAGAATCACAAAACTGGACACATAGATTGACCTAAGCAATCATTTGCTACAGTGGTTTCAAGTTTTGTTTTTTTTTTAATGTAAACTATTAAAAAGTTATTTGCCATCTTTGAGAAGTTATGAAATTTCACTAAACGGAAATCTGGATTATCGCGTTCATTTGTAGAATTGAAAGCTCTTGAAGCTGTGAGTTTGCGTTCATACATGGCAATAATTGGTGAGTGACTGCAGGGGTTGCACCTTTTGCTGAGAATGTGGGGGTTTTCCAGCTTGCCACATTTCTCACTTCTCCCTGTTACCTTACCCCCGGTCTGCTTTGCTTGCTTGCTTTCATCTGCCTGGTCAGTGCAGGTGCCTTAGCTTTCCTTGTATGGAAAAGGAAGCTTAGATTCAGAAAGGGTAAGTGTCTTCTACAAGGCTTCATAGCCAAAACTCGCATGAGCAAGCCGGAGTTAGAAGGGTATCTATCTAGCACAGGATAGGCACTCCAGATTTTTGTATTAATGTGGCAGGAAAAGGATGGCGTTCTTACAAGTCCAAGCTTTATAGACTCCAACTACTAAAACTCTCTGTGCCCCAGTTTTTTAAAATCTATATATTGAACTTACGGTAATAGTATCTGCTAGGAACTTTGTTGTCAGAATAGAATGAAATGAAATAACTGTTGCAAAATACTTTAAATGATATCCAGTACATAGTAAGTTTTCAGCAAATGGCAATTATATTTTTAGAGGATACTGGAGAATTCTTTCAATTGTTGATTCATTTGTTGATTCAAAATATTTATACCGAGTGCCTTCTATGAGCTGGGCATTTTTCTTAAGTTTTGGAGTATAGTGAAGAATAAAACTGAGTTCGTTTCTATCACCGATCTTATATTCTAGTGGAAAAGACAAGTGAATAAATGGGAAAGTTTATAGATTATGACAGGAGCTCTGAAGTAAGCAAATAGGATGATATAATGGAGAGTAACTGGGAACCTAGCTTAAGTTGGTAGGCTGGTCAGGCTTCCTGAAGTGGCCTTTGTCCCTAAGACCCAGTGATGAAAAGGAGCCAGTTGTGTAAGGAATAGGATCATGCCATCCTGGGAAGCTGATATAGCAAATGCACCAGCCCTGAGGCAGGAAGACACTTGGCCTTGTTGAAACAGAAGGAAAGCCACTGTCTAGAACACTATATCTGCATTGGTTGTAGTCAGCAGTTGGATTGGTAGTTTGAGGTCACATCTAAGAAGTAGAAAGTGATCAGATTATGTAGGGCCTTTGAGGGCACAGAAGGAAGTTTGAATTTTATCCCCAAAATGGTCAACAACTTCAGCACGTTTCTTTTTGATATGTGACATAGACTCTATAGCTTTGGGGAGCCTCTCTGAGCCTTGGAATCACTTCTTGGGTCTCAAGGCCACTTGTGGGCTTGGAGAGCAGGGACTTGGAGAACAGGGCACCATCATTTGGACATGAAAGTGTGGTCCGTGATTGGCAGTGTCAGCATCCTCTGGTTGTTTGCTAGAAATGCAGAGTCTCAGGCCCCACTCCAGACCTACTGAATCAGAGTCTTTGAGGGTGGGGCACAGGTATCTGTATTTTTTTAAAAAGCTCTCTAAGAGATGCCTATGCACACTTTAAGCTTGAGAAGCATTTTTCTGAAGTACATTTGGACAGATTTCCACAGGAGTTGGAGCTATGCTTTCTGGAGAAGATTGAAAACTTTTCATGGGCACCTGTAGGATATTCTCAGCCACTGAGGGTGCCAGTTCACCAGGTTTGGGCACTAGTGCCAGGTTGAAAATTCTTCTAATCACTTGTAAAACTCTCTGCCCACTGGACATCTTCGGTGTTGATGGCAGTTTGGCATGAGAGTGATTTATGGTTAAAACCTCTTTTTAATCAGGAAGCTTAAAGGAGAAGCTAATAGATCAGGTTATTTAGAATAAGTATGCTTTATTCAAAAAGACAGGCTTCAAGGTGGAAGGAATTTGGAGAGGATTGGTTAATGTTCTGACTTTGCAGATGAAGAGACTGGAATCCTGAGATGTTAACTGGCTCTCCTGGGGCCACGTGATTGATGACAATACTGAGTCCAGAACTCAGGCTTCTCAGCTTTGAACCCTGACCGTCGGCGCAATATGTTCTTTATTGGTGGATTTTTCTTCACGATTATTACTCCTTATGTAGTTCATAACCAGTCTTAGAACAAAATAGAATTATTTTGAAGGAAAAAATCATGATCTCTTACTAGTTTTTATGTTCATTATTATTATTTTTTAAATAACTTATTTTAATTATTATTTACAGTTTTTATGTTTTTATCATCATCTGGAAAAGATCATTACTTAATAGGAATGGTACATTTATCCATGTAAGATTTATGTTAAAACAGCTTGTTGTTACCTAAATACTTTATAATGGGATGTGATATTTTTGTAATGCTAAAATATTTAAAGTGTTTGGTACAAAGTTCGCAATAAATAACCACCTTCCAGTGGACGTGTTGAAGTAATTGGTAGATGTATCTTTCTAAACAGTATTTCCGGTTCATACTTGACAGCATCACACTTGATGTATTGACATAGTCTCGCTTGAGCGGTGTTTTCCCCCAGCTCTAAAATCTATGTCTGTCTTGGTGTTTTCAAGTTTAAGGAAGTGGTGGTTTTAGAAGTTACATCTTAGTTATGTGTAAAAAATATTTTTATGTTGCAGTGTCCCAGGAGCTTCTGCTGACAATTCCAGTTTCCGAACGAAACGTTTCGGCAATGGTGAGGGCTTCAGTCCCTTCTCTGATTCGCTGTCAGCCATGAACGGGTGGATGTGATGTCTGCAAGCCCAAAGGGTGAGTGAATGTTTGTGATTATTCGTGTGCAAATTCACAAGACAAAAAAGTCCATCCAGGACAGTTGCCCACGGCGGATGAAAGATTCTCATTTTGAAAGAAGGGACAAACTCTGTCATTGTTTTCTGGTATAACCTTTTCAGAGAATTCCTACAGTGATCTGAGGATTTATAAAAGGCATCACGGGACACAGGAGAACTTTGTTTACTTGTTTGTTTTAATCCTACTCTGAAGGTTAGGCTATCTGAACTGTGGACCACATGCACAATTGAATTGAGTAATTGCTGTTTTGGTCCCATTACAACTTGGTGAAAACATGAGCCACCATGAAATAAGACTATAATTACTTCATTTTGAATTTTAGGGGAAATTTAAGTCTGATTTGTTCATGGAGAGAGTCCCATCCCAAGCTTTCACATGATTAGGGATCTTAAGAAAGCCAGAGTGTTGGAAACTTTAGATTCTCAAAGGTTTTTTGAAAGACTTCTGGGCATTTTTTAAAATGATAGTTTACTTTATCAGTTTATTCATTGACTTTTAGGGAGAGAGAGAAGAGAAGGGACATGATATTTTCCTCTTATGTGTGTTTTCCGTATTTGATAATATCTGTCTCAGTCCCCAGCCATCAGTAGCTCCCCTGTAGTGATGGACATTATAACTTGCCATTAATAGAGACAATGATTGGTTGAGCCCAGGTGTTTTTGAGTGAAAACTCTGACATCATTCAATGGGAGCTTTGTCATAGAATGAGGTCAATTTCATGGAGAACCATATAGTTTCAGGGTTTTATATTGAATGCGTTCAATGGTAAGAGCCATTGGCATGAACTTATCTTGTTAGTCTTTGAAACAGATCGTGTGTACTGGAGGGAAGTGGAGGGAAGCAGAAAGACCACTATGTTGGGACTTGGGAGACCTAAGAGTTACCTGACATGGGGCTAATCAGTCTTTCTCTTCTTTGATTTCCCATGTTTTTAAAACAAAGCATGTAGCTTAGAGAATCCTATTCTGTCAGTACTATCTAGGCCCCAGAAGTTCTATTTAGATTCCCCTGGGTGTAGAAACAGGGCAGCTGAAGCCCAGAGAGTCCAGCTGGGATGTCTGAGTCCCTGGGGTTGGTCAGGACTGGACCCTAGTTATTTGGGCCTCAATCAGTGGTTCTTTCTACCTTATCTCACTTACGTAGATTAAGACACCTAACACCCATTCAGCTTAGTAAACCTCTTCTCAGGGTAAGTGTCTAAGACATTGTTACACATTCAACTACTTGGGCCAGATTTTTAAAAATTTTATAGCTAGAGGTCACCTTAACAAATCCCTCCCATTTCATAGATTAAAAACTATGTTAGTTTTAATGTCCATAGAAGCTATGTCCTTAGTGAAGCAACTAGCCCAAATACCAGAGACCAGATGATCCTCAAAGAAACTATTGGCTCTAAAATTCGCTTCCACTTAGGGTAGTTTGGTAACTGAGTACTTGTACCGTGTATTTCTTTCTGCTGGATCTAGAGGTAGAGAAAAAAAAAATCCAGTCTTCTGTCTTCCTTGTAGTATTATCATCTCTTGTTGTCAAGAAATGATGCTAATAGTAAACAGTAACACATAAGGCAAAGATGTCTACAGTAAAAAGAGATAGTTGATGAAGTCATGGAATTTTAGCATTTTAGCACTGTTAGAAATCTTCAGTCATTCTACTGGGTGGTCTTGGGCAAGTCCTTTGGTTCCCTCACCTATGTGAACTTCTGAGGTTTTCCATTGCTGTGCGGCTATGATAGACTTTTGTGAATGGTCTGTAGATTAGTGAACACATAGCACGTGTTAAGAAAATTTATGTCTTTGGGGATCCAGGTAGTGTTGAGAAGAAAGCCTTGGGTCTGTCTTATACACACATGAGATTCATAGAAGTGGTTGGAATTCTGAAGGTATTAAAATAGCAACAATCTCAGGTTTTTGGTTACCTGTCATCTCTGTCTTCAGTATTGAGAGAGTCTGACTCAATCTCACTGTCATAAAATTGATATATGAAATTTAACAAAACCACATGAATGGATTTTTTGAAGACTTGGCTCATTTTATTCATTAATTTCAATTGGGTGAGGCCCACTATCTGAAAAATCAATCTGAAGAACTATAATGAAAATGATAACTCTTGAAAAAATGTACTGTTAGGCCCCATTAAAAATACTGGGTTTTTTTTCCCCTAAATAAGGAAGTTCTTTGTATTTATCAGACTGTAATAAACTTCCCTTTGTTGTATTTTTAGCAGAAGATAGCGGTATCTGAAATCCTGTGAGCGGGAGCATGTGTTCTGGTTTTCTCCCCTCCTCCCCGTTTTTCCTCAAGGCACACTTCCAGGGCTTGCTCAGAGGACTCATTCTCTCCCTCTGTGATGCAGTGACTGGCCGTCCATGCATTATGCATCTGAGAGCTAGTTAGTCCTTCCATTGTCAAAAATTTATTCACAGTCCTATGCCTTTTAGAACTTTACAGTTTATTGAGTGACCAAAAGAAGCACCAATTAATTGTTACAGCCAATAATTTGGAGTCTTTAGGCCTGAAATAAACTCTCCTTCTGAGTGAAGCGTTTCATGGTAAGTGTCCTCGTGGTAGCACAGGGTCAGAGGCACAGGGATAGGCAGCCAGAAAAACAAATCGCCTTACTCAAATGCAAGGAAATGAAACTGTGAGATAAAAGGTTTGCACAAATAGATCATTATGGCAAATTTTTTAAGGTCAGAAAATGGGTAATGTACTTGATTGATGTTGGTGATAACCATACCTGCATAATAAATTAACTTAGGGGCAGGATACAGAGAAAGAAGGGCTGAGCACTTCACGTCTCCCTTTGCGCCGTAGTTCTTTAATGCCACCGTTCACCAGGAGGGACTCCGAGTTGGCTTTTTCCGCAGTGTGAAGCTTCAGTTGATATTGGTACCTACAGGATGCACATCACGGGACTCCAAGAGTGAAGCGTGGCTACGTCTGCTGCATATTTAATAGGCAGTTAGCCATAATGTTATTAATAAATGTGATAATAGCAGTCTGCATTTGCATAGAGTTTTCCTGAGAAGACTTGACTGGAGATAGCAAATATGCTGGCTTGTTTATCAGCCTCTGCTTTGGCATTGCGTTGTCCCTGCCAGTAAGGTGTCCCTTGTTGGTGGGTCTGGTGGAAGGGCATTGCATCATGTGACATGGTTGTACGTTATTTGCCCATAATTTTTTTTCCCTTCTTTGCCCACAGTTCCTCTTGATCTCTCTCACAATCAAATTCCTGGCTTTTGACTTATTAGGAAAAGATAAAAATATGGGAAAATATGTCCTTCTCAGTTAAGACTTAGCAAGGGGCTACTTTTTCACTGGGAGTTCCTTGCTTTTTAAAGTAAAACTCAAGAACACAGATTATTTTTTTGTCATTGGTTTTAGGGTGGATGGTGGTTAGTGCAGCTTCTGGAGAAGCTGGGTACAGCTGGCAGGTCCTTTGGGACGGGAAAGCTGGCCCCTTCCGGGCTGCCTTGTGCTGCAGCCTGTCAGCGGGCCAAGCCACTTTGTTGTGCTTAAACTTCCAGTCCCTGAAATTTTGACTTTGAAAAGTAATTTTAACAATTTAATAAACTGCATAATATGTTTTATAAGCTGGAGCGAATGATCTTAAGTATTTTGGTCTCTTTCATAACACAATGAACCTAATATTGGTAAAAATACAGATCTTCACTCACACCATAAAGAGAGGCTAGATTTAATAAGCAGTTATGAGTGCTGGCAGCTGCCTATCAGATTGTATCACTCGGGCTCCAGCGTGCGAAGACAGTGTCAACTTACATTTTGTCTCTGAAGTATATTTGAGGCGTTTATTTTGCCTTTCTCTCCAGTTCCTAACCTAATGCAAGTAATGTAATTGGCTGAATATTTTCCACATAGCTAATTGGCTAAGGGCCAAAGTGGAAACCATTGTCTAGCTTGATGAAGATCAGAAATTAACATGACATTTACATGGAGGTAATGGAATATATTAGTAAGGAACCAATCCGGAAGGGGAAAAAAGAAGGCCAATCCTCCCCGCCCAAGAACAACAAAAAGAAGTCCGAAAAAGAAAAAAAAAACCCCCCCCCCCCCCTGCCCCAACTAACTCCCCAGCACCACACAGTAGTGGCCAGCCCAGCCCTAGTCAAATTTACTTTTAAATTCTTCAGACAGAACTGTAAGACAAACTAATGAATTATTCCATTTGCCAATTAAAAAAGAAAATCCACCAACTACTATTGTAAGATTAAATTCCCATTAGAAGATTGCATTTAATTCGGAAGCTATAACAACATTGTTTTAATGAATTCTGTTGGAGTTGACAGTTTATGTGAGATAAATTTATATGGTGTAAGTAGAAATAAATTCATTGGATAATGTTAAACATGTTACTTCATATACATTAGCTGTGAAATTTATTTCTTCTCTAGTTATGTCCCTAAGGAGGTAGAGTCAGAGGGAAAAACATATCTTCAAAGAAAGAACCCTTTCTGTCCTTTCAGATATTTGCTCTAAAACAGCCTTTTCTCACTTTTATTAAAAAAAAATCTGTTAAATTTCTGCATTAACTGAATTTATGATTCTCAGTGTATGCTATTTATAAAATTGAATATAGGTTTTATGATATAGGAAATTAGTCTAGGAATGCGAATATGATCCAACTTTGTAATAAAGGTAATCTGCATTTATATTGCAGATATTTTCCATTCCTCTTCAAGCCCCTTATGGGATTATACACACATTTTTTGGACATACAAATTCACTGTAAACTTTTAACGTAGCGGGCAGGCTTTTGTTCACATGACACCTACACAAAGCATCCAACCCTTTGCCTAAATCGAGAGTGGCAAACATTCTTGACACACTTTTGATTTTATGGTTTCCCTTTTCCCTGCCTATTCCTGTGCCCCTGGCAGACCTTATTAGTTGATCACATTTTTTTTTCTTCTACTGAATGTGGATGTAGCCTCAGAATTGTTCCA